GGGGTGGGGGTGGGGGTGGGGGTGGGGGATGGGGTTTGAAAGGGCGTGGGTCAACAGTGAGTACACGGCATTATTGGGTTCAGTGCACAAGTGTGCGCCCCGCGGCAGTCGCAGCGAGGTCAAAGGCGCTGGGGCGGGTCCAGGGAACCAATTTTAGGTGAAGCCTTGTTTGAGGGGGGCTGCGAAGGCCCAGAAAAGTGGCCCCCTGTGCCGACCTTGCTTTTCACAGAGTGTCGGCGGCCCCACCGAAACCCCCCGCTCGCTGCGCCCGCGACGGACGGCGCGCGTCGCACGGCGCACGAGGTTAGGCGCGCCAATCTCGGCTGCTGGTGCAACCGCACACCTGCAGCGCCAGCAGGCTGACCGCGGAGAGCCCCAGGAAGCTGTGGGGGCTGTATAGGTTGGGAATGGGCGGCTTTGCCAGGTCGTGGCTGCGCCACACGGCCGACAGGCCGCCCGCGATGCAGACGATTGCGAGGGTGTGGGACACCCAGTGGACGACCTTGCGCTGAGGCCTGAGAGGGGGCCAAAGGTGCGGGGGGGGCGGGGGAAATGGATTGGAGAAGGCTCAGATAACAAGGTGGCATGATTTGAAAGGAGAGCGGTCGCCCCTTCTCAGTCGCGAGCGCTGGCTCCGCTTGCACCTGGGCGCTGCTGACCGCTTCTCGAGGCCTGGGCAGCGCCCTCCCCTGCGCGTCTCTGCCGCGAGCTGGTGGGGTGGATGGGATGGTTGGTTTCAGGTGGTCTGGTGATATAAACGGGTGATCTGGTTGGCCCCGCACCTGGTGAAGCTGGCGGACCAGGGGGCGCGGTAAGCCAGGAGGGCTTCACCCATGAGCACGGGGAACGCCAGGACCATGAGGATGGGGTGCCTTTGGGGGGGGGGGGAGGGGTTGGACGCGGGCGCGAGGTGCGAGCCCCAATGTAAGGGGGTTGGTAGGGGTGCACGAGGGCGTGAGGGCGTGTCGACGTGCCAGCGCCGTGGAAAGAAGATGCTGCCGGAACCATTCGTGTATAATCTCAACACAGCTGTGCGCGTATAGGAGGCCGCGTGTGTGGGCGAGGGCACCGCAGATGCAGGGAACACTTTTTGGCAATCAACTAGGCACGCCGCCCATTGTCACTGCGAGCGGCGCCGCCTACCAATTGAAGAGGCGGCCGGTATTGACAGCGCCGTCTGCTGACACGTCTGGCGAGGCGGATACGCCGCCGAGGAGGGCCCGGACCCACCACACCACAATCGCGAGGACCGACGCTGACACCAGGCGTGCGGCAGTGGCGACCCCATACGTTGCGCGCGCTTCGGCGGCACGCGCCTGTGGCGCCATGTTTGGCTGGCGACAAGTTATGCGAATCAATGGATTGGGGTGGCGTTCGTGCGGGTATCCTTGAGAACCCCCGGCGTGGATGCTGGGCCGCGGATGCTGTATCACGCGAAGTGAGCACGATCTGGATCGTGAATAGTGAAATAATCAGGTACTACCTGGTATGATATGGTGGCACGAGCAGCAGGTGGAAGCGTTTGAGCGAGACGTCTGGTCAACGTCACCGGCATGGCGCTGCTGTGTCACCGCCGCACGGGCATCAGCCCAAGCTATACAATGCTGCCCGTCCAAAAGCTGCAGTCTGCCATTCACACACTGTCCTTGGGGTCTGCATGCACATAAGGGCAAGCGCACTGGAAAACACAATTGGCGACCATGGCATTTGCTTACCACAGCGCGAGCGCCGCTGCACTGCTCGGGTACAAGCGAGGCTCGCGACCCAAGTCCCAGCACGTTACAAGAGGTCTGCAGGACAAGGTTGTGCGCACCCCCCTACGACCCGCACACTGGCCAGCCCCGGGCGCCGCGCCAATGCAGCTCCGGCGCGGCCGCAGCGGATTCCCTCGAGGCCTTTGGCGCATGCCTTGGGCCTGGGCCCTCAAAAGGGCAGCCCCAACCAGCCCCAGGCACTTGGACTCGAGCTGCGCAACCCCACAGTCACGAAACGCGCAATGCCAAGGGGTTGAACCCACCCGGTGATCACGATCAAGTGGCAGGGCGCGCCACAGGCCGGGTCGCAGCACGAAAGCAAGCAGTGCGCTACGCGGCGCCGGCGGCTGGCGCAACTAGAACCGTAACAAGGCGGCAGCGGTCAAGAATAGCATTGAGGTGCGTCCACATACACGTCGAATCGCCCTTCTGAGCTTAGCCGCCCAGCGCCTGCGCAGGCGGCCGCAGCGACTGCTGGCGGCATAGAGCCCAGCAGCCGTGGGGCGCGTCCCCTGCGGACACTCAACCCCATCGGCCCCCAGGGCCCCAAGAGCCGTTGAAAGAGTCCCCAAGATCAGAGCAGGCGGGGCTGATACGGCCCCCTGTGATGACGTCATCACTTCTTTGCGAACAACCGGTCCCACTCTGAGTCGACCTGCTGCTGCTGCCCCCCAAACGGATTGCTGCCGCCAGCTGGCGCCGCGCCGCCCGCGCCGCCTGCGGGGGTGGGTGCCGCCGCGGCGGGCGCCGGGGCAGCGAACGGGTTGCCGCTGCTCAGGCCGCCGCCAAAGGGGTTCAGAGGCTGCTGCTGCTGCTGCTGCTGTTGGTGCTGTTGCTGCTGGGGCTGCCCGTAGGGCGCTGCGCCGGGGTATCCCCCGTAGGCACCCGGCTGCTGCTGCGGTATCATGCCTGGGTAACCGCCGGTCGGCTGCGCCATGTAAGCGCCGCCTGGCGGCTGCATGTAACCCCCGGTGTACTGCGGCTGCATGGGGTAGCCGCCGGTGTACTGCGGCATGTAACCGCCGGTCGGTTGGACAGCGTAACCGCCATAACCGTAGGGCACAGGCTGCTGCGGGTTGTAACCGGTAGGCGCCCCCCACGGTTGCGCTGAGGGGTAGGGCTGGTGCCCGGGGTAAGCTTGATGCTGCTGCGGCTGCTGCTGCGGCTGCCCGGCCGGTGGCTGCAGCGTTGAGCTCAGGGGAGAGCCCGGGAGGTCTATGTGTGTCAGCCCCGCAGTGGCGGCGGCGGCCGCCGGCGACAAGGCAGGGCTGGGCGCTGCTGTTGATATGGGCAGCGGCGCCGCGACGCCGGGGCCGGGGGCCGGGACCGCGGCGCTGGGGGCGCCCCACGCGGGCGTCGCGTCAGCAAACGGGTCGGCTGCGGCGGCCGTCGGCGCCGCCGTCGCCGCCGGGGCCGGGGGCGCCCCGCCGCTGCTGGTGGCAGCCAGCACAGCAAAGGGGTCGGAGTCATCCGCCGCCGGCGCAGACGCGGGCGGCGCTGCCGCCGCCGTGGCGGGCGCTGCGATCGACCCGGTGGGTGAGCCCAGGGCGAAGGGGTCCTGGGTGGCCGGGGCTGCAGACGCCGCCACCGACGGCGCGGCCGGCAATGGCGTGTCGTCAAAGTCGATGAGGTTGAGGCTCTTGGCGCGCTCCGTCACGGCCGCCGCCGCGGCAGCCGCGGCAGCAGTAGCAGCTGCTGCACCCGCGGCCGCACCCGCGCCGTTGGCGGCCGTCGGCGTGGGCTCCGCCAGGGCCGGCGCCGGCGGCTGCGGGGCGGCGGCGGCCGCCGCGGGTGTGCGGGGCGCGAGCAGCCTCTTCTCCTGCGCCTCTGAGGCCTTAGCCAGGGTGCGGTCCAGCAAGTCCACCGCGTCCAGCGCCTTGGCCATCACCTGCGGGGCGCCAGATTGCATCTAGATCACAGCCAGATCGCAGGCAGACCATGGAGGAGGACCCAGCTGTCACACGCCCCAGATGGTGCGCCGAACGCTGTGCTCAAGGCTTAAATCCGTCGACCAGACAAACACGGCCCCTAGCCGCGCACACACCCCTTCCCTGCGCTACAGGCACCCTTGGGCGCCAGCCGTCGCTTCGATCCCACACAGACCGCCCCGGCCAGACGCCACCCCCGGGGCCCAGCGCACTGTGGCGCCCCCGCGCACCTCCTCTGCGTCAGGCCCCTGCAGTCCGCCCAGCTGCTCCAGGTACGAGTTGAATGAGTCGCGCAGGGCCGTAAGGTCACCGCTCAGCTGCTCCACCATGTCGCGCTCAAACTCGGCCTGGGAGCGCGAGAGTGAGAATGTGTGTGTATGTGTGTGCATATGTGCGTGTGTATGTGCGTGTGTGTGTGAACGAGAGAGGGGGGGTAAGCACTGTTCCCGTGTGTAGGCACACATCCCAAAAACGCGCTTGTGTGTGTCAATGCACGCCAACCGCAGCACTCCCTCTCCATCTGCGCTGCGATCGACCGCAGCGGCCGCGCCGCCCCGCTCACCTTGGCCTCCTCCCCACCCACGCCGCCGACGCCGGCGCCGCCAGCGCCAGCCGCGCCCGGCGCGTCCGACTCTGCCACGAGAATCTCGTTGACGATCTCGCAGGATCCGTGGGCCTGGTGCACCATTCGCACGATCTCATCCAGCAGGGACTGGCGCTCCGCGGCCAGGGAGGCTGGGAGGAGGGGTTGTGGCCAGTGCGCATGCGCAAGAAGAGGATGTGTGCGGTTGTGTGTGTTTGGGGGGGTGCATCTTTTTCGCGAGTTGCAGAGGGAGGACAGGCACGCGCCAGCATGCGCCGGCCCACGTGGAGCGGTCACCTACGTCGCAGCTCAGGGTGTGCCCCAGGTGCCCCGTGCATTCATCGGCAGTTTGCAAGCCTCATCCCTCCGTTGGGGTGCAAGAGCAAAGGGGCAGGCGTGCACCCGACGCATTTATGGTGAGGGGCCCCACCTGGGTCCCGCTGCTGCGGCGCCGCACCCGGCGGCCCCGGCGGCGCGGCGCCGAGCGGCACGCCGGGCGCGTAGCCGGGGCGCGCGTAGGGCGGGGGCGCCGCGACGGCCTGCCTGAAGGCGTCGTGTCCGAGGCGGCCGTAGTCGCGCAGCACCTCCATGGCGGCCTGCTTGGCGCGCATGGCCTGGGGGCTGTTGTAGCTGGGGCGCGCCGCCACACGCGCCACCTCCTGCAGGCCGTGTGCGTGTAGAAGAGCGTGTGTGCGAGAGTTTGTGTGACGCGTGCACAGCTGTGTGTGTGTGTGTGTGTGTGAGTGTGTGTGTGTGTGTGTGTGGGCATGTGCGTGCGCGTGCGCGCACGCGCTGGTCGTGGAATTTCTTTGGTTGGCATGCAGCGCTGCCAAACAGCAGCTCGTTCGCATGTGTGCACCCAAACGAGGCCATCTGCAACCAATGCTTTCCGCCCCAGCGCCACTGCACGTCCTGCTGCCCGCTCCCAACCACTCCACACCGTTACTCATGCCACCACACGACTTCAACCCCTCCAATTCGCTGGGTCCAACACCAACCCAGACATCCGTCATCCACCCCCCACATGCTTTCGGCCGCCTGAGGCTTTTCCTGCCCTCACACACACACACACACACACATGCACGCACACACGCACGAGATCGCGCCTATCCCCCCACCCCAACCCACCGTCAGCAGCTCCTCCGTGTAGGGCCCCACCGCCGCGCCAGCCTCCCGCAGCACCTTGGCCGTCAGCACCACGGACAAGAACTGCTTCTGAGGGTGCTCCATGTTGAGGCGCTTCTTGAGGATGGCCACAGAGTCCTGTTTTGAGGGCAAAGGGGGGGGGGGGGTGCGGGTGGCAGGAGACGGGACAGGCGCACGAGTAGGTGGCGCGTGCGTGCTGGCGACTCCCGTGCAGCGCATGGACAACCGCAGCGCCTGCAGAAGCAGGGCAGAGGGAGAAGCGGGCCCCACAGACACGGGCTGTAACGCAGCCCTGCTCCGCCGCAGGCAACGGCAGTCCCGGCGGCTGTCCCGCCCTGGGGTGCGGCGGCCCTGCGCACCGCCGCTGCCATGGGGGTGGCGCGCTCCTCGTTGATCATGTGGACAATCTGGCTCGCACGGCACGGGTTGGGGCGGGTCCGCAGGGGGTCGGGCAGGGCAGGCCCCGACAGGCAGCGCAAGCACCCCGCGCGTGTGAATTCAGAATACGAGACGCCCTGTTCAAGTCCTGAACGCAGCATGCCAGCGCTACAGCCCGCAAGCCGTGCTGCCGCACCGCAACAAGCTAGCGGGGTGCCCGCAGCAGCGACAGCCAGACGCGCCCGTGCAGGGTGGCCGCACGCGGTAGGCAGCTGCGGGTGCTGCTGAGCGTGCTCTGCTGCCACGGCGGCACCGATGCGGGCGCGCCGCCGCACCTGCTGGTTCAAGACCTCGTCAGGCAGGTCGATCTGTCGCGTTGTGGCCTTGCGAGCCAGCTCGTACAGAGACTCGCCATAGATGGGGTTGTGAAACGTCGGGCGGCCCTGCGGCGAAGCGGCATGTCTTCATCATCAGCGCCCCGCCTTCCCCCCGCCCGCAGGCCGCGCGGCTGCCACACACGACGTCTCGCGACAAAAATAGCCCATGCAACGCCACCTTACCGAGAACAAGTTCTTCAGGGCGCTGGCCATGTGTGAGGCAAGGGGCTCAAACCCCACAGATCTGCCTTCGGGCTTGTCACTGGGTGTACAACGGCGTGAATGATAGCAGTCCGCGCCACTCGTGGAAGACAAGGCGGACGTGACACACCATACACTCAACCGATGATCTGCACTTGTGTGATTGGCTGACTGCTGCTCTCTTAGCAGCGTTCAGCCTGCGAAGATACAGAATTGGGTCTATGGGATACCCTCCCTATGCCCGCGCCACTTGGCGGGTAACACCTGGTGACACTGCTGACCAGCACCAGCACCACCAGCATGGCCATTGGCAGCACCCATTGTGCAGGGCAGTGTACTTGCGTACCATCTGGTCACTTCTCTGTCTACAGTGAATGCGGTTTGCACTGAGCTATTGATAACCTCTTGTCGCAACTTGAGCTTACACGGGACAAAAGAAATCGGTGCACGGACCAACGCACGCGAGCCCAGCGACGACCCACTGCGGCCCGCCTACACCAGGGTCAGCGCATGAGCGCGGGACGCGCACGCCACCTCCCCTGCGTGACAAGGAGCAGCGCGAGACAGCCACGAGCAGAGCCACGCACGTGCAAGGAGATGCGCACCTGCGCCGCTCGCGGCCGTCACCGGCGCCGCCGCCGCCGCAGCAGCTGGCAGTTGAGCAGCCTCTGCGTGCCGCGGCCAGCAAATATGATGGCTTGCTGCTCCTGCCCCTGCGCACCCGCCTGTTAGCTGGTCGGGCGGATGTAGAGCTCTGGAAACTGACCCCGCAGCTCGCTGGGGAGTAAGGTGGGGATGAGGGCATCGGGAGGAAAGGGAGAGCTTGCTGGAGAGCTCCCGCCCATGGGTTGCGCAGGTTTGCCGACCAGCCGCGTGCCCTGCACTTGATAACAAACGGCGAGACCAACTGCGGCAAGAGGCCCCCCGCCCGCACTGACACCGCGCCGCTCGCGGCGCGCCGCCGCCCTCACTTGGTGCCGTTTGCACTCTCCCAGCACTGCAGCGAGATCTTCACGGCGCCGGCCACCACGACAGGCAGGCAGTCCTCCCCGACGAATGAGTCTGAGCCCTTGGCCACCATGGACACCATGTAGGTGCCGCCGGGCGCCAGGGACACAGGCTCAAACAGATCCAGGCGCGCCACCTGGCGCGAGGGCCAAGGGGGGGTGTTGTGAGGGGGGCACGCCAGCGCATACGCACGGGGGCTGGGTTTAGGGGACGACAGGAGAGCGCCGGGGGCGCGGCGCGGTGTGCGGGCTGCGAGGAAGCAGCTCCCGTGGTGGACGCGCGAGGGGCGCCGTGCGCAGCAGCTGGGACAGCGCGGCGGTCGCGCTGCTCCCGCCCCGCCCTGGCGCCGC